GTGTGTGTGTGTGTGTGTGTGTGTGTGTGTGTGTGTGTGTGTGTGTGTGTGTGTGTGTGTGTGTTCATATGTTTTGAAGTTTCACCACAACAGCCCCTATTCCACCCAGATGAGAGGATACGAAATCAAAGCATATTCAATTCCATTACAGACAATGAAAGCCCTTGAGTTGAGGTGGAGATATTCCTGTTCATTTGTTTGTAGATCTTCAGCTAATGTTTTGTCTGTTCTCTTAATAATGCTTATATTTATATGTATTACAGTATTGGTAGCAATACACAAGGAGGGAGGGAAGTGTATTGCTACCAATACTGTAATACATACACATAAGCATCATTAAGAGAACAGACAAAATATGAGCTGAAGATCTACAAACAAATGAACAGGAATATCTGTACAAGTGGGCCGTTATGGCACACGGGGATGTGGGCAGCTTGCACTCTACCACAATCAACGTGTCGAGGCTTGTGCATGAGAGGCACAGTAAACGAGCTCCAAGAACAAGTGAAAGGGGTAACAAAGAAAGCAAATGTGAACTCATGCCTCTACTTCATGTTGCTTGCTAGAGAGGTATTCAGTTAAAAAAAAATAAAAATAAAAAAAAACAGGAGGGAGGGAGGGAGGAAATGGGAGGTGGAGTTCTAACAGGGTTATAAACAATGATCGTTGGGACGTTGGGACAGACCACTCTAGAACGGCACATGAGGCGAGTGCTTCCAGTGTGTGGGTTTCATAAGATTTTGAGGAGCAAGCGTTGTCTATGGTAAGTGGTCACCTCAACGGATCGGGCAGGACCGGTTCGGGTATGCCCTCAGGAAGCACCGCATCCAATTCTCGCAGTCGCAGTGACTGCATCGAATGGCACGTGGTAGACAAATGTCACAGGTTACGCGGTTCATACATGCTAGGATCACAAAGGCACGTCGACCGCAGTTGTAGGGACGTTGATGGTCCTGGTCGTCTACAAATTAGACAGGACATGTCAGGCTGCCGTACACGAGTGCGATTGCAGCGGGCTTCTAGCTATCCTGGCCTAGAGCCAGGGCTATTCAACTATTTGATTGTTCGGCCTGTGGGACCACGTCTTTGGCCTGACCCCACAGGCCATGTGAGTACTCAGTCTAGTCTTGTCCGGTACCATTGCCAGTACTAGTCCAGTCAGTCCGCTGGGGGTATACTCCAGCTGCAGTACGTATTTCCATTGATTCTTCGTTTGCACATTTTGGTGTACGTGCGTGTTAAGCATGTGTCGGAGCTGCGCTGTCCTTTCCTACTCCATCCCCATCTCCTTCATCCTCACCCTCTGTCTTGACACTGACGGGTCCATCATCCCGGCGGGTTCGTCACACTGATATGGGAGAAGGTTATGTTCTTGCTCCCTCCCACCCACTCCATCACTTTGTCACGTGACTTGAGCAACGCGCTCGCCACTCTACCCTAAAAACGACGTCGGTGCACTCTTTTTATCATAACTTGTGCATCCAGTTTCCAACACGGGCATACTCTACCTTGTCACGTGGCTTGAGCAACGAGCTCGCCAGTATATCTTGATCTTCGACCTGTTAGAAAGCTCTCAACGAGCCGCTTTCAGCAAACCATACATTGCAATTTTTTGTGCGCTCGATCAGATGCTGCGATCGTTCAAGATCTTGATTTTGTTTAAAGCTCCGAAGTCGCACTCACTTTTTTTTTTAACGAGTGGTATTTCTGGAAGGTGTGGTTGAAGGAATGCCATATCATGCTGGAAGCGCCTTTGAAAAATATTTCAAACGAGTCGTTTTTTGCATAAATCCCCCTGGCCGATTAAAAGTTATTGGTAAAAAGGTATTTTACTATTTTCCCTCTCTCCTCTTTCCCCCCGAGTGAACATTTTCAAGAGTGCTACGTGGCAGCACTTGAGGACCCCCTTGGCTAGGGGGCTGCTCGACAACAGGGAGACATTATTATTTTTTCTTCAGGTCAGATCCTGTCTGATCAGATCCAACCACCTCAACGACGGTTTTGCAGAAAATCAAGAACCCCTTGCATAAGCGGATGCACTACCAAGTGGAGAATATTAATTTAGGAGATGCAGGTCCTGTCTAGGGCGAGGTTTTAAGACAGCAATGTTTGTTCGGGCGGCCTGTTTGGGGCTGAAGAGGTGGCTATCCGCCTGTAGCATAATCACCTGTCCTTGACGTGTTTAGAGGGATGCTGGACCTGTTTTCCAGCAGGTGCTGCTCCCCACCAATAGATTGGAGCAACCAGGCGGCCCTCTTAAAAAAAACAAGATCTCTCTCTAACCCTCTACCCAGCACTTCGGTTCATTTTGATTAGACCCAACTGCTGCCGTAGCAGTTAATCTCTCTCTCTCTCTCTCTCTCTCTCTCTCTCTCTCTCTCTCTCTCTCTCTCTCTCTCTCTCTCTCTCTCTTTTCTTTTTTTTCCCATCAGTTTGTCATCCGTCCCTCCACCAAGTTCGATTCTTTTTCTTTTTTAAATTTTGTGTTCCTCGTTGATTTCTTTTTTCTTTTTCTTTCTAAAAATTCGAATTTTTCTGCAACATCCTCAAATCATTTTTGGACTTAAACCACCGCCACCGCCGATCCTGTGTTTACCGACCTTGAATTTTCTTTTCTGGTGCTCGTCTGAGATGAACAACAAAAGAACAGCTGAAAAACAAAAAAAAAAAGAGCAACAAGCATATGGACGTGAAAGCTGTTGGATACCGACCATAGGGTGCTTGTGAGAATATGCCTTCAGTGACGGTCTTATAGCGTCGTTGAAATCACAACACTTCATTTCAGAAGTCGCAAAAAAAAAAAAAAAAAAAAAAAAAAAAAGGCAGCAACGCTATAGACGCAAAAGCAGTTGGATACAGTGCTTGAAGCTCGTGTGAGAGTGTACCCTCGTCGAGGCAGTTACAGTGGCGCGGTGCGGTCGTCACGGCAGCTAGTTCCGGGGAAAAAAACGAAGGAACTACGTTTGGATGTCTTCACGGCTAGATACAGGATCTGGATGCTGCGCTGTGTGAAAAGTGTCATCAGTCCGTGCAAAGCGCCCTGCCTTGCTGGCAGGGGGACCGAAACGAAGCGAAAGCAGAAGAAAAAGAACAAAAAAATACAAAAGTTGAAATTAATCGTATATGGCTGTTAAGTTCGTTCCTGGCACCACTCCTGTGAGCACACGTTGTTCACGACCTTCATCTACGACCTTCGTTTCGTTACTTTTGCTTCCTTTTTTTTTTTTTTTCCTTTTTGCAAGTGGGCCGACTAGGCCCAAACACTTTCTTTTTGCCTACCCTTTGCCCAGACCCTTGAAAATGCGGTGTGACGTATATTCCCGTTTTTCCCTACACTGAGAAAGGTAGTGGTGGTTTAAGCCATGTTTTTATAACACTGCACATTTTGACCCCTTGGGGGTAACAAACTGCTCCCAAAATGTTTTCTTCCTCCTCAAATCCTTTTTTCGGCACATTTTGACCCCTTGCGGATAACAAAGTGCTGGTGAAATTTTCTCGCTTTACTAAGTCATTTTCTTGCGTGGCACAGATTGGCCCCATAGGGGTAATGTTACATACTTCAATGAGTATGGGCAGAACCAAAGATCAACCAATGTAGCAAGAGCATATATGCAGCGGAATTCTGATAAACGGACTGACTCACATAGACTGACTCAAGAATCACTCCACACACATACAATCGTGAGATGGTGGGGATGAAAGGAGGTGGGGGAGGTAGGTAGACAGCACCGGTAGGTCACCGAGATAGAGTCCGATAGGTCACCGATATGGTAGTCCAAAATGTCATCCAACAAGATCAAAATGTCGAGGACAATCAGTCACCAATGTCGGAGATACAGAGTCCAAATGTAACCGGTGTCCGAACTGTGATGCCGCCAAGTATCAACCCCAACATCCTCCAAGTCTCCAATCTGGTAAGTACCACAGTCTCATACCACCGAAGTCCAACACTGATCTCTGTCCACTAGTATAAGTCTCCAATCTGAAGAAGAAGAAGAAGGAGAAGAAGAAGAAGAAGATGATGTCTGAAGAGAAGAAGAAGAAGAAGAAGAAGAAGAAGGAGCCGAGGAGGAGAGAGAGAGGGGACTGGCGAGGGGAGGGAGGAGAGAGGCCTCCAACTCYCGATACCTCAGGCGGCTATGGCCGCCGGCACACTCAGTCGCCGCTGCTGCTGCTCGCTCGCTGCTGCTGCGCTAATGCTGTGCTGCTGCTCCTCGCTGCTCCTGCGCTAAACTTAGCGCCAGCGCTGTATCGCGCTGTACCATACCGTACCGGTAGAATGCCGGTAGGTCGATAGCCTCACTGAGGCTGGACCGGTACTTTTGTAGCGGTGGGCGGAGGTCGGCCTCTATGCGGCGAGGCCTGACCGTGCCCTGAACCGTCCAGATGGACGGTTCAGCCCCAACCGGCGGGCGGCAGCCTCAAGAGCGCCGCCAGGCCCAAACGGTAATATCGTTTGGGCCGGCCCGTCGGGTCTGGTTCGAGGTAAGGCCTTTACGGCCTGTAGCACCCCCCACGGTCGGGCCTTTGGCCCTACTGTGTCCCTCTACCCCTACGTCAGGTCCAGTAGGACCCGTGTGGCATCGAAGATGTAACACACTCCCCCTCTTAAAAGACCGAGCTACCTGCGAGGGCGAAGTTGTCTGTCCAATACCGGGGTGGGTTGGGCGGGACGAGCTGCTTCCTTAGCAAGGCTTCGCTTCTCAAGGGGTGCAGAAGTCTGCAAACCTGTACTGGAGATCCATCGCGTGTCATCAGGCGCACATTGCTTGAATGTGACCTTGAACTGCATTGGTTTGTTGCGATACTTGCGGTGAGTGATGACTCGGTCAACTTCCTGATGTCCGTCCATAGAAGGCGGATCCTGTGATCGACGGCCGGGAAACTCGTCGGTGGAAGGTGGCGTGTAGATGGCCAGCTTCGACGCGTGGAAGACCAGGTGCACTGGCAGGTGCGGAGGAATGATGACCACAAAGGAAGGACCTGCGGGGTCGTCTCCAACAGCAGAACTGACTTCCCATGGTCCGAACCATTTCGGAACGAGTTTGCGTGAAACGTCCTGCTCGAGCGCAAATTCCTCGGAGAGGACCCAAACAAGGTCTCCCTCGTGGAAAGGACATGGAAGTCGACGTCGGTTAGCCTGCTGATGTTGCAGCGCCTGAGCTCGCACGACTCTTGCACACTGGTTGGATTACCAACCAGGGTATTCCGGAAGACATAATGAGCGACCGAGATACTCGCTTCATGTCGGCCTTTTGGACTTCCCTCATGGCTGAGTCCGGTACGACAATGAAGCCGAGCTCGGCTCGGCACCCGCAGACGGATGGCCAGACGGAGCGAGCGCACTAGACCGCTCAGATGATGTTGCGTACGGTCATCCGTCCCGACCAGAAAGATTGGGTTGACCGGCTTCCCGACATCGAGTTCACCTACAACACTTCGGTGCACCCGGCGATCTGCGTCACACCATTCGAGTTACATCATGGTGGAGAGAAAGCACGGATCTTCGCTGATCTCCTTTTGCCACAGGCTGGAAGCGAGCATACTTGCTCAAACGGTCAACGATCGTGAGAATACCGTCATGGCCGTGGCGATCGCGGGGGAATGGGCCTGTCACGTCCATAGCAATGGAGAGGCGTGGTGCCCGAGGGATCGGCAACGGTTTCAGTTCACCGAAGGGGACTCGAGATCGACGCTTGTTACGGTGGCAAACTGCACATGACTCAATGTACCTCGTGACGTCATGAAGGACGTCGG